TATGTTTGGGTTCTTATGATGTTTGGGTTCTTATGATGTTTGGGTTCTTATTATGTTTGGGTTCTTATGATGTTTGGGTTCTCATTATGTTTGGGTTCTTATGATGTTTGGGTTCTCATTATGTCTGGGTTCTGTGTAGCATGCCATTGCTTCATTTAGTTTGGTTTTAATGTACTGCTACTTAGTAACTCAATTAAATGTACCTTAATTCATCCTGACAAAGACAATAATAGGCAATTGCTGTAAAACCTTGACATTTAAAAGATTATACCTTCATGCAGATATTCCTCTCTTGGCACAAGTGAATTTCCTCTGATTATATTGGCCTACTGCAAATGAGCACATAATGTTATTAAACCGGGAAGATTATTTAGTCAAATCATCTGTGTCAAGAAATACACTTAAAATCCATAAAGAGGGGAAAATATACAGTTAAGCAGCCTTAAACGTGGATATGAAGCTTGAAACCCCTTTGTGCATAGAAAATAAGTACACTAATAAATAATAAAAACATCAAAATATTTAGTGAGGCACAGAGAGCTTCTCAAAGGCAGTGATGAGGATTCATTTTGAAAGATGTGGTATGTATTATTTACTATATGGAGTGTTTGTGTTATCTGTTGCTAAATGAAATGTGAATTTTCTTGACCCAAGTGAGAGAAGTTATTGCCGAGGTAACGACTAAAGCTGAGCGAAATAAACAATATACAACTGTATGATAGATGCAGGACTTCATTCTATAAAACCAGGTCCACACACACACACACACACACACACATGCACGCATGCAGGCACGCAAGCACACACACTGGCTCAGATAGACGGAGAGTGTGTTTCCAGCACCATTCTGTTAAACAGCCAGTCTCCTCAAGCAATTCAAATCATTATTTCCACCGCCCCTCTAAAAATGACACTTTTATCACAGTTTTCACAAAGCGACTGTATTTGAATGCTTCCACCTTCAATAGGGAGAGAGTTGGTGTGTGTGTTCTGACTCTCATTTCTCCTCCTGCCTCTTGGGTGTTTTCAACAACCAAATTACAGAGCAAAGAAATCTATCCACAGTTATAAGGTGGAGGAGATTGGAAATGGAAAATGTTTTGCGCTGGAACACCCTCCAAACACATCCATATTCATACAGAGCAATGCTGCATCCATCATGAATTTGAAAATGAGACTTAATGTAGGTCTGCCTGCATGTGTTCATGGGGACAGTCCTTGATGGGAGCTTGTGTGTGCATTTTTTATTCTCCAGGCTACTATCATGCGCGAATGACAATCTAATGAGTCTTGTGCTTCATGTGAGTCGCACTCTCTCCATCCTCCCTCTCTCTGGAGGGTCGCCTGCCACCGTTCTGTCCTGCTTTATATTCCAGCTGAGGTTGTTGAATCAGGAGCTTAGGGACGCTGTGTCTGAATGATTATACAACACTGTAAACACACACCTGAAGGCTCCCAGCTTCGGCTTTGATAAGTTATCTATTCACCTCGTCCTGCACCTCAAATCACAGCCCGGCCATGAATATGGAAATGAAACTGCAAGGACACATAGGTGGAGCATCACATGGGTGGCATGTTTGAGAGGGAAAAACAGGGCAGAGAACTCCCCGAACCATCAGCATAAATCAATTACAATTCACTGCAGGCCTGCTAACCTCAAATATAACAAGCTGTCACAACAAGTGTGTGTGTGTGAGAGACGATTGAGCGTGTTTCATGACTTGAATAAAGTATGTGACACTTGGTGCGAGATGACACATTCAGCGTGTGTTTTTGTGTGTGTGTGTGTGTGTGTGTGTGTGTGTGTGTGTGTGCGTGTGTGTGTGTATATGTGATATTTAGCAACATGCTTTAATTCCTTATAGACCTCCTCTGTGTTTGTTGGCAGGAGGCGACATGATGCTGCCTCTGCTGCGTCCTACTTCTCATGTCCCCCTGTGATAGACATTTTCCAATGACATCTTGTACCTCGATCAGCCCACACTGTTATGGACTATTTTTTGGAGTTGTGTTGTCATTCTTGGCTTTTTCATAATGGCATGAAATTGCTTTGGATTGCACTCCAATTGACATGTTTGCTACAAAAACATCATTTTATTAATTCTCCCATACTTACTGGCAATTCTCTTCCTGGAAATTATTTTTTCTCTTCCTGTTCTCCCTAATTTTATATCACTATATGAAATAAACCAAGCGGGTGTGACTCATGCGTGTTCAAGTAGCTTTATTTCCAAACTGGAGAGGAATGATGACAGATGGGGATAGATGATTGTAAAGCTTAGACCGCGCAGTTTGGTCCAAACACTGTAGAAGAAGAGACAATAACAGGCGCTTTCAGGGGAAAAGATGGTGATCAAGAGGCGGATTGCTGCACCTGTCACCTTTAAGCCATAAATCATACTTTTTTAAAACAAACAAAGCTGCAGTCTCACGACAAAAAGTCATGGTTTGGGGCAGTTTAAGCAGCATTACAACTTGTATTTATTGAACAGCGCCATGAATCCATGACCTGTGTGACTATTTTTGTTATAATTACTTTGCTAAAGCTATTTGTGTTTCAGGAGAGAAAAATAACCATTTCAAGGACATGGAACGATTGTATGAGTACAAGCAGAGATTACTCTCAATGTTTTTTTTTTCTTCTCAGTTATTTGGTTCTCAAAGCGGCTCTGTATGTGGTATGGATTGCAACCTTAATGTCCTGCAAAAGCCTGAAAATCATCCAACTGAAACTGGCTTTGGGTGCAATTGACATTTTCACGTTCGACTTCCTTTTAAGGAAAAAGTTTGACAACACCAGCGAGGTGAGTTTTCCTTCTGCAAAATGCTTGATAAATTGTACATCTGTGAATATGCTTGATTGAACATGTCTCTGTACTATAACCAGATGAAGCAATGATGCTAAATGTTGCATTGTAGTTTCTGCATTATGCACAAAAACTCAAGGTTGGTGTGCTTTAAATTCAACACAAATCACATCCGCCCCTAAGCTCAAATGTAGCTCAATCTCACAAAGCATCTTATTCTCGATATTAAAAACCTGTACACAGTTCTCACTCTTTGATCAGTTCCACTTTAAGAATAAAGCACAGTTACTGAAAAATAAATAGATAACAGAAATTTGAACACAAAAAAAGTTTGAAATAAATAATACAGTGTTTTCTATCTTTGCCTCCCATCACAAACAAATATACCAAATATAAAGTTCATTTGAAGCAACAGAGAGCCGGATATCACTGAGTCAGGCTGGTGTCCTGTAAGGCTCTTTGGTCCCTTGAGGGTGATCAATAAAAAGCCATGTACTTAATACCACTGATAAACACTGACTTTAAGCTTTGTAAGACTGCCTCCACATAGAGTAATACTTCTCCTTCTAGCAGACATTCATATGACAGACAGAAAACTGATGCCTGCACCCAAAATTCTGCTCTCTATTCGTATCATTATTACAGTTCGTCTGTGGTACACAGCAGCCAGAGGAGACACACACACATTAAACAGAAAAAAACGCATAACACATACACTCACACACAGTCACACAGGTCAGCAGAATTAGACAATTAGCAAACTGAAGAGTTGCTGCTGACAGCCCTTGTCCCATTGAGTCAAAAAGCCTGTGTGGCGTTCACAGTTACAGACACATTTTCTTTCCTCTCTTTGTCCCACAGAGTCTCTTGGTGAGAAAAATAAATGTGCTATTCACTCTCTCGCCTCTCAGAGACAAACCCAAATGTGCCGGTTAGATGTCCACCGCAGGCGAGGATGTGCCGGAGGCGTCTGTGAAGAGTGACTCAGACTAATGATTCTCAGAAAAAAGAGCCATGTATGGGCCAAATGAGGAGGAACATTTCACATCTGTGCTTTAAAGTAAATGTGAATTTCCACCTGTTCAGTATTTCTGTAACAGAGTTTCAGGCAAATAATGTTCACATATTAAATCTGGGGTTTTCAGTCTTCTTTATGCACCTCCCATTAAATACTGTGAGTTACCTCTGGAGCATGTTCGAGATGATAGAACAAAGTTTTTGTGACTCAAACGTCCAAATACTGTCCGGTCATTTATATCATAGTCCAGGAAACAGGGGTCTCACAGTCTTTCTATTTCATCTCGACTCATACATGTGATGTGCTTATTTGTCCAAATCCACCCCACTTCAGCTCATACTATGTTTCATGAAAGGTTAAATTTCAGCGTCACATAACAAACAACCTGAGTGTCCCTTGTGACCCGCACCAAGCAGAGAGCGAGGTGTCTGACGCGGAGAGCTTTCCACATGAAAACATTAGTTTGAAAGGACGCCCTTGTCTGTGCTATCACATTTGAGATTGTCAGAAAACCATCTCTTGTTGTTGCGCTTTTCAGATAAAAATCGAGAAACACATGTTTGCCCTGCAGCCGGGGCAAATTAAGACTGCGGACGTAAGAAATCACCACCAACCTTGTGTGCTTCTTGTGCTCTTTATAGATAAGTAAAAGGCCCTGGGCTCATTGGAATCAAAGATTGCTTCTTCTCCTTTTTGAACCAGTTTTTCTTCCCCCCCATAAGTCCCAGAGTCTCCAATAACTTAAAAACCCTATACATATATTTAACATTAACCATTCTGTATCTTTAGTCAAAACTTTATTTTAACTGCTTTCTTCAAGGACATTTCTTCTGATGTTCTGCACATTTTTGTGTCCCAGAGATTTCCATTATTCAATGTGAAAAAGGGATACAACTTATAAAATCTTATCAGCGTGAGAGATAAGTGAATGCTAAACCGTTAAGTGTCCCATACTTCATCTTTTCCGTGTCCTATTTTCACGCCACACTCTGTAAAAATTGTCTGTTTGAGCGTGTGTTTATGTGTCAGCTGCAAGCTGGGATTTCACAGTCCTAGTTTTCTGTTTGCTCACACTGCCTATAAAAGAGAGGCTCTCAGTTTTGAATTTTATGTTGAAATTTTGACTGGTCAAATTGTTTTTATAAGAGCCCTTTGAATGTTCTGAAAATATGTTGTTTTTTTTGTATGCCTCATAAATAACTTTAAGTGTCCAATGCACTTGTATGCTAAAAGAAAGTCCCCTTGGTGCTTCTGCAGAGAATCTTCTTGAAGGCCTTCCTGAAGTCTTTGTTGAAGATCGTGTATATGACTGGGTTTAGCGAGGAGTTGCAGTAGCCGATCCAGAAGAAAAACTTAAAGAGCGGATCAGGAATGGCACAGGTCTTCGGGCATACCGCCTGCAGGGAGTAAGAGAAGAAGAAGGGGAACCAGCACACCACAAAGACCCCGATGACCACTGCCAGCACAAAGGTGAAACGCTTCTCTCTGTTCACCATCGCTTTCCGCCTCGCCGCCCCAGGGGTGTCCTCTGTTTTTGACTTCCTCCCTGGCACCAGCCGTGCCCCCTTTGAAGTGGCCATCATGTCCCGGTAGCGCTTGACCGATGCTGGGGAGTGGATGCCCCCTCCTGCGGGTGACCCCGGCATGCTGGTGCTGCCTCGGCCTCCTCCGTGACTGTGTTCCATGTCGCTTTCTGTGCTCGAGCTGTCGCAGTTGTTATTGTCAGCTTTTCTCCTTCCCTGCTTGACCTTCTTCTTCTTCTCCTCTTTTTTAGTCTTGGCACGAGCAGGCTGAGGCACAGAGGAGGGGGTTGAGTTGGCATGAGGAGAGGTGTCCAGGGAGGTTTTAACAGGAGTCATAGGTAGAGAAGGGGATGGAGGCTGCAAGAGATTATTGGTGGTAGGATTCTGGTTGGTTTGGTTCTCTTCGGGGGGGAGTATTGGCATTGATGGCAAGGCTAGGGGGTCTGTCATTGGAGTTTTTGTTAGATGATGGGGGTGTGCTTTCTTCATCATCCTTCCCGTTGGCTTGTACATGTTTAGCAGGCTGACTTGGAGTAGCAGAGCCGACCCCGTCCTTTCTCGGCTCTCCCGGGGGGCAACGAGTTCTCTGCTTGGCGATTTGGTAAATTCGGACATAGACCAGGATCATAATGAGGCAGGGGGCAAAGAAGGAACCGATGGTGGAGTAGAGGATGTACCAGCGTTCATCATTCAGCTGGCACTGAGGTCCTCCTTCACTGCCCAGCTCCCCTACTTCACTTTTGTTCAGGGAGAGCAGGGGAGGGAAGGAGATGACGGCAGAAATGAGCCACACCACCACAATAGCGGCTTTGATGCGTTTGGGTGTCCGTTGGCGCCCATAGGTGACCCTGGAGATTGACAGGTAGCGGTCCAGGGAGATGGCGCACAGGTGCACGATGGAGGAGGTGCAGAAGAGCACGTCCAGCGCCAGGTAGATTTCACACCACAGTGATTTAAAGTACCAGTAACCCAGCAGCTCATTGGCCAGGGAGAAGGGGATGATGAGTGTGGCCACTAAAATGTCCGCAGCAGCCAGTGACACCAAGAAGAGATTCTGCGGACCTCGAAGGGAGCGGCTGGTCAGGACTGCGATGATGACCATGATGTTGCCCACGATGGTGAAGACGACCATCAGGGTGATAGCGGTGGCAAAGACCGCCGTGGCTTCAGGGGAGTAGGGGGCAAGCTTTAAGATGCTCTGGTTGCAGGGGACGGAGGCTCCAGAGCTGCTCACGCTGCTGTTCCAACCGCTCAGCTCCAGCGAGCAACCGATATCCGGAACTGAGGCCATAGGGTCAGCTTTCCAGGAAGCTTTAAGGGTTAAAAAAACATGTTTATGTCACTGATCGGATTTTCTTCTTTCGTGGTTTTTATAGTAGTGGAATCTTGATGGTCATACTTTTTTTCTGTACAATAAAATATATGTTAATATGTGATAATAAATGTTAATATGTACCTCAGTTTTTCTCGTATTTCTTTGTGTTGTTTCCAAACGTTAGCTCCCTTGCATCCTCCACGCCAAGTCTTCCAAGTCCATTTTTTAGAACGAAACAATCCGGGGTTGTGCGTCAGGACGCGGATCAATGCTTTTCAATTAAAATGACACCACACTTTGTGGATTAAAGTATACCCAGGAACAAAAGTCAATGTCCAGAGGCGGATTGCTGTGCGCTAACCTTTTTTAAGATTTACAATAGAACCCAAATAACTCAAACTTCTTTTGCGCACAAAGTTTGATCCCTTTTTGTCGCGGTGATAATTATCTTGAAGATGGAGAAATTATACCTCATTATCATCGAATTTTGCAAATCTAGGATCGATTACAATGAGCTGGAATCGAATCTACAAAATTAGATCAGAGTAAATAATCTTGGCACTTGAGCGATCTCCGTGCGCCCTCGTTCAGAGCCGCGCGTCTGACTAACTGGCTTATCAAAAAAGCGAAATAAATGGTAAAGATAGGCTAAAAAAAAAAAAGAATAGTTACCATGATTTCCTAATAAAAAGACACCAGTCCTTCCCGTGAAGTAAAGCCTGACAGGCAGCGTTTCCAGTTGGTCGAACAGGGAAAAAATCCAAGTTAACCTTCTGCTTTCCAGTCCTGAGCGTGAAACCGGATTTGTTGTGAAAACGCACCTTTTCTTTAGAATAAAAACGATCCCTGCACAGCTGCTTCAGTGTTTTTGTCTGTGAACTCGTTTCTCGGTCCTTTCTGCCCCTCTGTCTGCACAAAAGTTCACCGGGATACTCTGATCCAGCCTCTCCGCTGGCGCACATCGCAAGCGTCCTCACTGAGGCGCAGCAGCATCCTCACTGGTGAGCAAGACCTCAGCACGAAATCTAATAAAGTCGGGGTGCCTCCCATCTCCCTCCTCGCTTCAGTTTAGACCCGCTGATGTCATTCTGGGGCTGCAGGCGTCATGGGATGCTTACTTTCTCTATCCATATAATCTTCCCTCTCTGTTCCCCTCCCTCTCACATTAAATCTATACTCAAGCGGATCAGCCAGCAGTTCAGAAAAGGCTTGTTGGGTGGTTCTGCCGGGGTGAGAGAACAGAACTAAAGCCATTTGTTCTATAGGAAACATAGTTTAAATCCAGGGACCTAATCAGTATTCATCATCATTATCATCATCATCATCATCTCTCTCTCTTTCTGCAGCATCTTCTATCTTAATTTCTCGCAGCCCATCTAATCCAGGCAGGTGGCTTTCAACCAATTAGAGTGGTCCTGCTCGAGTTTTCTGCTTGTTAAGAAAAAAAGCATTCTTGTCACTCTTGCTCACTCACTGGTGGAGCAATAATGGATCTCGCTGTAAAGCAGATTAAGATTGAATTTGTGGTGCATCATCACCACAATCATCATCATCATCAATTTCATCATTCCACGAACCTGAAACAATTGCAAGCATTTAGGACCGCTGCAGATTTTCACTAAATGAAATGACTCATGTATGCTCACACCTCTGTTTTTACTATAGCGCCTAATAAAAAGCCTGTGCTCTAGGCTATATCACGATGCTCTCTTTTTTTGGTAGTGAAGTGTTCATAGTGAAAAACAATCTGTTACTTTGTTTTAAATTGTGCTTGATCAGAAAAGTTTAATATTACTTATAATGGTTAATTTTTTTAAACCATTTTTGGAGCACATTAACAAAGGGCTGACTCTAAGTTGTCGAGGGAGTGAAATCTTTTTTAATGCACAACAAGTCCACAATTCGGGGTATTCCAGTTACTTAAGAGAATCATTTACAGAAATCTTCCCCTTCACAGTGTTAAATTACGAATGCATTAAACTGTAAGCGGCCTCCAAATTAATATTTAATATAAAGCCGAATTTAAGGCCACAGATTGTGCATATAAAACCTTATTCCACACTGAAACTGATAATTACAAAGCACCAAATAAAAGTTTCAGTAAAAATTAAGCATTTCCTCATGAGTCAAATTATAAAGTCTCCTCATGCCCATAGCTGCTTGCACTGTGTTACCTTCCACATCTGCTCAGTGTTCAAGATGCAGGGTAGGGCTTTAAGGAACTTGCTTTCTGCCCTCATGCATTTACATCATCACCTGACTTCCATTCAATTCTCTCCCCATTATGTTCCCCCACCCCCCAGGAGCACAGACGATCCAGAGCATCCCTCACTTACAACATACCTAAGATCAAGTGCCTGCTTTTTTAATTATGGAGGGAAAACCTACGTCAGGCCGGCTGTATTTATTGAGCTATGAATTAAACAGAGGCAGAGTTTATCCATCTATGTGTTTGTAGGTGCCCTCTCTGAAACAAACACATTCTGCGGCCCACACATGCTACCACACATTCTTATGAATGGTGTGTGTGGGTAGGTGGGCCTATTTGCTTGTTTTTGTTGTGCAACACCCCCCCCCACACACACACACACACACACTGCTTTAATGAGAGAGAAGCCCAGCAAGCCACCCATGGAATTACAATTCTCTGTGAATGTGCGACCTGCAGCCGCAGCCAATAATGGTTGTACATTTTTCACTCCACGCTACACATTCTAAATATAAAAGCAACGCGAATAAAGCTTTTAGTGTGAGAAAGAGCACTCCAATCAAGTGTCTCTGTTTCCATGGGTGAACTGTGCTTAGTAACACGCTGGAAATCCATTCTGGGGGAGAAGGGTGTGTCACTAATGTCAAGGTTACAGAGATTGAGAAGCAAACAGCAGTCAGTGCACAGTACATCACTTCTGAAGTGCCTGTTGTGTAATAATATGTGGTGTACAAATGTGTGCACACACACACGAGCCTCTAGGAAATCCTGTTGTCATGCATCACGCACCGTGGAGCAATAATTCTTTACTTGAAATCCAGACTGGAAAAAGTTTTTCACACCTGATCTGAAAAGGGCTCTGAAAACTTCACCTAGTTCATTTAGTTTGCAGTTTAGTAAAAAAGACTATTGGTGTTGAATGACTGTAAAAATAAAGAAGTGGGGATGAATAGTCTTAAATCAACTGTGGATTACTGAAGGTCAGCATACAGTGTTGTGGTGGGAGTCTCTGCACAATACAGACCCTGTATGTGCAGCATACAGGGTCAGGTCCAAATCAATTATAGTACAGTTATTGGCTTGAGTCTGCCTCCTGTTTTCTGAGTTTGTGGGTGTTCTCGTGCATCTACCTTTTTGAGGACTATATACTGTTTGAAAAGTCAGGGTGAGGACATGTAGACAGTGAAATTATTTGGCATGCAAAGGCCCAATTCTGATTTTCAAGTTAAAAATCGGAAAATACGATTTGGAGTATAAAGGAAACTTCTGGAAATACTTACAAATGAGAGACGGTATCACTAAAGGCAAATTCAATCAGAATAAGAATCCTGTGATTGAATTTTTGGAGTTACCCTCTATGGCACACAGAGCAGCTGGGTGCTATAAACTCTTTAATGGGTTACAAAAAGATACATGTAAAAGTTTGAGAATGATTTGGCAGAAAGACTTAGAATGTGAATTAAGCGAGGAGGACTGGTCAAAAATCCTATCAAATACGTGGAGGTATATAAAGGAGGCTAGGGGGAAATTTACTCAATATAAAATAATACATAGGTTTTATTTTACTCCTTCTAAACTCCATAGGATGGGAATACTGGCTAATAATTTATGTTGGAAGTGTCAGATAGAACCAGGAACATTTTTACATGCACTCTGGGAATGCAAGCTTGTAAACCCATTTTGGGACAAAGTCATGGAACATATAGGGAAGGGGTTGGGTATGAAAATACCTAAATCACCAAGGATTTGCCTGTTAGGGGATCAAACTGAATTGACCAAAGTATCGAAATATGACCTTGTTGTGATAAACGTTGGGGTCGTAACGGATTATGGAAAAGCACGCCCCCCCCCACAATTTAAGCAATGGATGGAACTTAAGTCAGAAACTGTGTCAGAAACTGGCTAACAAGTGTTAGCCAGAATCAATAATGAAGGTGAGAACTTCCAGAGGTTATGGGGCCACTTTTTTGCTTATACACATAGTACCATTGGTGCATTGTAATGATAAAGATGTGGTACTGTGTATACTGTGGTTACTGAATTGTTATTCTGGTTCCAATTATGTACTCAGTTGTTATGGGACTTTGGGCATACTATTGTACAACAACAATGCTGTCTGTTTTGTTTGTTGAATATTAAGTTAAAATGAAAAGTTGAATTACAAAAAAAGTTACAAATCGGAGTCAGGTTTCTGTTAAGTTAGGGTAATGGTTAAGTCAGAACCTTTTTTTGGTTTGGGTTGTAAACTTTTTGTCTGCAGATTTTTCAAAAGTAAGGTATGTAACAGATTTTTAAAAGTAGCACTTGGGTGAGAGATGCAAGAGGGCTAACCAAACCGACATTTGAATTCCTCAGGTTGATCATTTGATGTGTTTAAAGCCTTAAAGAGGTCTAAGTGCTCAGTGTTTCACAATACAAACACGAGTACAGCATCAAAGTAGAAGTATAGAAGAAAGAGAGACTGTGTGAGAGAGTGTGTCTCTGAGTGTGTGTATATAACTTGCAAACAATTACAAGGAGCTCTCCCCGCTGCTCATACGGTCATTTTTCTGACTGCACATGTAATGCTGACAGCTGCATCTCGTGCCAACTGGGATTTCTTCTTTGAGTGACACCGTCTTCATGTGTGAATACAAACACTTCAAATATCCATGTCTACAGGAAGTGTGATCCCTGTTAAAACCCATAATGTTTTTCACACCTGCAGCACAGGCATGCACAACACACACACACACACACACACACACACACACACACACACACACACACACACACACACACACTATCTGAGTGTATTTCCCTCCCCTAATGTAATATGATTGATCCTGACACTAGTTTAATCTGGCTGCGGAGTGTGAGTAACGGTGAGTCTGTTTTCATTAAGTAGCCTGACGACTGAGTAGGAAACGAATATAACAATTCAGATGAGAGAGGTGGAACAGTCTGCTTCTAGAGATAAATAAATGACCAAGTGAAATGACACCCAAAGTAATTTAAATGTGTTAGTGGACAATGGAAAATGAGAGAAAGTGTGTGTGTGTGTGTGTGTGTGTGTGTGTGTGTGTTCTTTATTATCTTAGTAATGAAGAGGCGGCCACAGTTAGCAGTCTGCTGGCGCCATCTGCTGGACACGTTTGAACCATCTCGATTAGTGGTTATTCCCAAAGTTGTCACCAGAGGGCACTGTCTCACTGCAATCTAAGGACAAATGCATGTTGATCACTGGGTGTGATTTTATGTACATTTGGTACGCACAAACACACACATGCACACAAACTTACACACATAACACAATAAACGTTGACCTTCACGGATAGAAAGCTACAACTTCCAGCTGAAAGCCTGAGCTTGATGAAAAAAAAATCCATTAAAATTGTTAGATTTCAAAAATAAAACTTCAAATGATGTGAACTGAATGTGACTTTGAATGTCTACACAAACCAGAACTAATGTTCTTTTTCTGGGTTTCACTTGAATTGAACTCTGAGTTTGAATTAAAGCTGGAAAAACTCTGGGGTGGGTTTCTCTGCCCCCTGTCTGGAAATACAGGGGGCCGTGTATTGAGAGAGAGAGTACAGTCACTCTTGCTATGTTGGGCTATGGGAACATGTAAATGAGAGGAAGTGGATTATTTTAACTATGACCGACAAAGGAGCATGGGCGGAATAATACGCATCATGGGATGAAATAGTTAGGGTAGCTGGTATTTATTGCACTATTGACACTCTGACATTTCTTTTTATTAAATATAACAAAACGGTTGTGTTCAAACAGTCCATCATACAAGCAAAGGATGATATTTTTATCAGCCAGTCACATGCTGTTGATTTGGTGGCAATTCACATAACTTGGACCTTTAAAAATTAAGAAATAAGCTACATGAACTGTGTCTGATATTCAAAATCAGAATCAGTGTTTATTGCCAAGTACATTAACACATACAAGGAGTTTGACTTGGTGTTTTGGTGCAAAACAGTTAACAAGGAAATATAAAAACAGCAGAGCTCCTGCTGACAGCTTAAGTAGGAATAAGGTACAAATATTAAGGCTATTAGAAAATATATAATAGAATATAAAATATAAAAACACAAAATGTACAAAATGTGCAATGGAGGAACTGTGCAGGTATGTTCAAGATTACATGCAGTGTAAACAGAAAATATTAAGTCCAGTGTGTGTTAATGTAACGCATAGTTCTACATTCAAGCAAGGCAACGTGTGCGTATCCCAAAGGTCTAGAGAATTGTGTAGAGAACATTTGAGTAATGTGAAGGCTTCATCTATGTGGATACAGTATCCAGAATCGTGCAAAAGGTCAGTATATAACGTGGGTTATTGGGTTGCTCATGAGAATATACATGTGTTAAAAGTTTGTTTATAACTATAGTTCACATACGCAATTTAATCAGTTTGATGGACTTCCCAAACGTTCCTGTTTACAAATGGCCATGATGGCTTTCCATCTTTATCTGTGTTTTTTTTCTTTTCTTAATAAAGTCCAACGTTGTTCCCCCAACTTGAGCAAGTGGAAGGGGAATTTATGTCAGTGGTTGTTGAGGTCAAAAAGTACTTCTTACTGTAAAACCCATTCTCTGTGGATAATCCTGCAAATTACTGAGCAATGCACCGTTTAAAGACCTTCTGATTAAGAAAGAGAGAAACTAGTGCAGCAACATTCACATTTGAAATGACTCCTTTCATTTTCTTTTTTTCGCAAAAAAATTGCAACACACTAAGGGTTGACTGTTGTGAGATTACCGTGTCCAAGCTGGTGTATGACTCAATACTGAATATTCCTTATTAGATATAAGAAGTGTTAAATGTAAGCCAGTGGGAACAAAGTTAGGACATTATACAGAGTAAACAGACTCAGTGTGTTCCTTCAGCACATTTTATTTCAGTGGGGGAAACACAGCAGGAATCAACCAAACCCTGAAGGTATAAAGTGCAGTGACAGACAGTAATATGTTAAAACTGTCATGAGAAATGCTGAAGTAATAAATACAAAAATAAAAATCTATTTGCATTATAAAAAAAAAAGAATGTCTTACATTTTGAGTGTACATTCTCGCTCATGTTACAGAATGATGAGAATAACTAGTTAGTGCATCATTATAAATTAGAAAAATAAAACTTTCGATCCATCCAGTATAGCTTAAGAAGTCATCACAGTGTTGTCTCAAAAGAAGACATGACATGTCACAGGGTTGCGATCTGTGAAGGAATGGCTTTGAGTCAAAAAGTAGACAGCCCTTGTTAAAGATCAGGCACATACGTCACACACACACACACACACACACACACACACACACAAAAAAAAAAAAACACATACAAAATCAGACAAGCAGGCACAATACCCTGCAAGGATAGAACGCAAGGGAAATGATGTCATAGCTGCTTCACCTTGCTGGCTCGGGTTCATAAATGTTCATATTGTGGTTCTAACAGTGGAGCTTATAATGCCAACATCTGTTTGTTCTAAGAAGTTTCCATTTGTCACTTCAGATCAACCAATCATGTGATGCCAGCAGCACAAGTAGCTTTTCTCTGAACCTCCTGAGGGAACACTTCTGAAATGTATCACTTTCGAAAGTACAAATTACAAGTTTGTACACATGAGACCTGATACCACTCAGAGTCCAGCACAATGAACAACAACAACAAAAAAATTATTATGTTTGTTTCCTTCCTCACAATGCATGTCTGGATCTTCATCCTTGGCAGAGGACGTCAGTCTCAAACTGCAGTAGCTGTCCCATGAAGGCCAGGTTTGGGGAGATAACCTGACGCCGCTGCTTCACAAAGTCGAAAGCCTCGTCAAGCTTGACACGCTGCGTGTGCATGAGGTAGGCCAGACAGATGGTGGCGGAGCGGGAGATACCTGCCTGGCAGTGCACCAGCACCCGACCTCCACTCTGCTTCACAGAGTCTGTAGTCGGAGAGGAAGAGAGATCAGTGTTATTGCGCTCCATTTCCCATTTCACAAATGAATAGAAAGCTGTAATGTAGAGTGATCTAGACTCTATAAAATCCAGTTCCTATCTGTCTAAATCTGTCTTAGCATAGGCTTCACTTTGCAATTAAAGTGGTCAAAACAAGCAAAACACAATAATTACATCTTGATAAGTTTTTCTCTTTCTTTTGCATCATAATCCGGTTGTTGTGTAATCAGACAATTGAACTTTTGGTCCTTTAGTCTAGCCTACAAAAAGGATAATGGCATAAAAGCTGCTTAGAGACATTTTTGGGATATTTAGTTTCAACAGGAATGTAAATACATGGCTTGCTTAATTAAAACAGCAATTCCCTGTGTGTTTGTCAATCAACTTTAGAGGATACAGTACACATGTGGAGAAGTAAAAAACAAAAAGAGAAAGAGGCTCACCGATGAAGGCAATGGCTGTGGAGAAGCAGGCCCTGATGTCAGCAGCCAGGCTGTCCTCGACAGTGATCCGCAGGTACTCAAACTCCCCCTCGTACGAGTTTGGGCATGTGGAGGAAACATTGAGCACAGCTGTGATCCCTGCTGCTTTCAGGGTCTCTCTGCGGGACGCGTGGATGGCACTGCCCAGAAACAGGAAGGGCAGCAGCTCCACTGGACCATCCTGTAGTTGATCAAATCAAGACAACAGCACCCAAGTTAAAGAAGGATCACTTTGTTGTTTAGTCTTTTTTACTGCAATTAAATTAAATCAAATCAAACGTATGTTGTGTTTATATTATCATGTCTTGTATTACCTGATCATACGCTGGTGTCCTGCGTCCTGTCACCATTGGCTCTGGTTCCACTTGAGAGAGGCTGGCAGAGGTGTAACATAGCTCTGGATAGGCCTCTGAAAATCCTTCAAATCCACCTAAAAAGAGGTCAACAGTATTAGCCCAAATGTTTCACAGAAGCCTTTCTTAAAAGCTTTTCCTAATATGATAATGGTGTGGAAAAACCTCAAAATTAAGCCAAAACATTCATCTCTTTGTTTGTATTTGAGGTTGGATAAAGGAGATGATCACACTCAAAATCAAATCACAACTCTTGTAAAAAAATATTGTGATGATTAATCTGAATAAAATTAAGGATCATATTTATGTCACTCCCAGTCGTAGATTTTGTAAAGTTAAAATGAGTGTTGTGTAGTTTGTGATCATTGTCTGTCTCTACAACAATTCAACCAAGTTGAATTATTTAATTTGGGTCTTTAACAGTGTACGTGTTCCTTTATGTTTTCCAGTACAGAGTGTAGGCTTAGACCAATATCGTTGCTTGATACGTGCATGTATTTAAACAATTCTGCAGGCTAGTTAAGGGATTTTGTTTAAAGTCAACAACTTTCAGAAACTAAACTAACCATTGATACTGTTTGGTGTGCGTCTTAATATTATACTGACAAAAATCGCCTACATTACCTTGCACAAAGCAGATCTGCGTGTGAACTTCGTTTTGCAGGGCTGTGAGTAACATCTGGGCAACGCTCTCTGCCTTCAGCTCGGACACTGAGCGGCTGCTTTCGTCCACCATCACCACCGGGGAAAACTCTCCTCTCTGCAGCCGGCCCACGAGCGCCTTGTCCGGGATGAGCCACTCCAGAGCAACCACGGAGCTCTTGGATCTCCGGCGCAGCATTGAGTTCCAGTTGACATTTCGGGACTCGCAAATATGCGCCATAGTAAAATCGAGGAAAGGTCTGCAGTCCAGCACCACACACCCGGCAGAGCTGTACTGGTCCCGGGGGGTCCTGAGAATGTGGACCAGCTCACTACCAGTTATCTCCAAAGGTTCACTACGTAAAGACATGGCTGAAAAGGTCTACTTAGAATAGTTTAAAAGATACACCACCTCACTTTTCTTCAAATAAAGAAAGTATCAGGTTTTAGTGTAGGCCTATTTATGTAAGCTAAATACTTTACGCGTTGATAATGTGCATCTGGAAAGTGACCTATGTGAAAATAAATACAAATAGAGAGCACTTGAACTCTCCCTTTGGACTCTCAAAATCAGCTTGATTTAGAGTTGGTGTTGTTCATTGATAACAGCCGTGCGAGGGGCGGGGTGAGCGCAGCCCCCGCCTTGATTTCCACAGAAAGAATAGCGTCATAAGCGGAACGACCAAATATGGCCTTGCCGGTTCTCCTTACATGGGCACTGACGTCAAACCTGAGTTTCCTACCGCGCACGTGGTCGTTTGGGGTTATCCCGTGTTTTTGTGTTGAATGACGTTATGCTTAAATCAAACCTACCCTACCCAGCAGCCTCCAGAAGTGAGGATGAAGGCTTAGTTTTGTTTTGTGGGTTAGATTAAACCCATATCTGACTGCTTCGCCTTTTTGTCTCCATGCTGCTCCATGCCCTCTGTTTTTTTTCTCTGACCTTGGGGGGGAAAGTAAAAATGTTACACTGATAAAATTCCAAAACAGACTTGAATTGATTTGTTTCTGCTCTACTGGGAAATCTAGAGCGTCTGTATCTCTCTTTTGTTATGATCTTACAGCCCCTTCCACTGCAAAACACAGAAAGAAAACATTATATTGAAGAGTTGAACTTCTTTTATCAGATGCAAAGGAATGGATATTGCAAATTATAATAAACAAACTAATTTATTTTTACTTTTTCACAAACATGCACTTTGGACATCTAACAATTTACTTTCATAGGCCTACTCAAGGAATAGTGCAATTGTAGATCATCTGAATTGTTAAGTACGTTCTACTCACAGGAGTATGCAATACACGTGGTTGGGACTCCTTTCAGCTTCATATTGTTGCTGGACATAGGCCTGACTCAAAATTAAATACAGTGCCCTTTTCCTAGTCACAATAAAAGTTCAAGTTAATTTGATTGTCATTCCATCAATGTCACATACAGTGGAAGACAATTTCATTATTCAAGACCACCCTGCTATGAAAATAAATAATATAACTAAGGAACACAACATTTAAAAAAACAATCTAAAACGTTAACATTCATAAAAGCAACACTAAAAGAGACCAGGTGCTATGTTATTGATGAAAACATAAATGTGTTTTAATCAACATTGGAGGTCCCTAGCATAGTGGAACAGCAACATTTGACTACATAAACAATATTTCTTAGTTGGAGTAATTGTTTTAATTCTGTATTGCTGAATATAAAAATATATTTGTGAATATTAAAAAAAAAAAGAAATACCTTTGACTTGAAACCATAGACTGTATAAATATATATGTTATTTACAGTCTATGCTTGAAACACGTTTTAGAGGTTTTCTACGGGGCCCCTGATTTCCCAAAAAGTAAAAAAAAAAAAAAAAAAGTGTGTTTACATGATTAACACAAGTTAGATAATATGTTGTGTGAACACTTTCTTTATTTTAAACTTGTGTGCACAACATATTCACTCGTGGGAACAAGATAATTATCTATCTAACTTGTAAACAAGTTAATTATCTTGTGCGCACAAGATATTTAATTCAAACTTTTTCAGGGGGACTTCAGGGGCTCCGGAGTTTTTAATACATCACAAGAGCAGTTTTATGTGTTTTTTAATGTGATTTTTTGTAACAAGTAGTCTAAATTCTACACCAGTCATATTAAGGTCAAACCACAATCACTGTATCTAGGACATTTTAGACGTGTTTTACCCCTGGATACATGAGAATTCATTTCCTTATTCCACACAGGAAAACACATTTCATGTGCAGTGAGTGGGAGAGTTTGAAATCATAAGGTCTAATCTGACTTTTTTTTTGTCTTCATATCCTCTTAACCCACATTCATATCATCGGGCCTGCCCACAAACGTCTCCCACTCATCGTCTGACTCCACTTTCTTCTTGTTCCCACTTCCCTTCTCCCACTTCCCTCACCACTGCCTGCTGGTCCCACCAGTGCTCTCCCACTCTGTCGTGTCTCTCCCTGCTGAGACGGCATTTTCAATCCACACACACACACACACACACACACACACACACACACACACACACACACACACACACACACACACACACACACACACACACACACACACACACACACACACACACACACACACACACACACACACACACTACAGTACACAGTTAATCATGGCTGTCAGTGGAGTGGCTGAGAATGCATTTGCTGTAGCGTCAACCTGCACTTTGGGCCTGAACACACACACACACATATACTGTATAAACCCACAGTGAAATGATGACGTGATGTGTGTGTCTTCAAAGACGTTCTTCTTTTGTTCACCCATTCGCCCCCATTACAGCCCATCGCCCCCATTACAGCAACCAGACAGGAACCAACATCTCACACATCCTGTCACCATCGATGCAGGCCTACATAGCCACACACACAAACACACACACCCTCGTAGTGTATCATTACGCCTCTTCTCACATTTGTAATAGCTTATAACCCAAACAGACACCATCTGATTCAAAACGTTTCTCAGGAATTACCCTGAAAATCTGAGCAATTATCAATGATATAAGAGATGAGTTTGAGAACCTTAATTCCAGGATGTGGTGTGTCATCCACAATCATTGATTTGCTTTCATTTTCATTAAATTCAAAAGTTTCATAATATCCTGGAACATCACTGTAATTATTTGACAAACAGCCAGCCAAGAATAACACTTGCATGACGCATCGCTGAGAGATGGGTGTGAGTTTATTGTTGCTCTGGTTAACACGTTGTTCACACAGGAGAGTTTCCTTTTTCAAACAACAGTCAACAGGAAAAGGCATGAGAGATGATACATGTTAGCGAAAAACAACTATATGACACCTGACCAACTGGAAGAGATGATGACAAGGACGCGGTGGAGGTTGTGTTTATCGGGCGGACTATTTTTGAACCAGAAGCATCCTATGTCATCAAAATGTACCGACGGTATCCTGTCGCCAGATGAGAGAGCAGAATTTAAACTCTGCTGATGGTGCAGAAAACGTACTTTAGAATAAACATTGGCAGTCATGAAAAGGTTTGTCATCTCTCTGAATAGAAATAAAAGTAAATAAACATTTGAAGAAACCCAGATTAGAACATCTGCCCCCTTTACCCCCCTGTTCTCCCAGAGGGGATTATCAAAGATTAATTGGATGGTTGGGAACTATTAATCTCTGCAAAACACTGTAATCCGGGATTTAAATCATCCCTGACTCCTCTAACAAACGCCCACGTGACAGTGCCACAGCTCCATTGAGGGGGAATGTGTGCCTGCTGGGGTCAGATCGCTGATGTGCTCAGGCAAGCTGGTGCTTAACGTTACGGAAAACTGAGTGGTTTTCTGGGGGAGTTTTAGTATGTGTGTTTCAGTATGTGTATGCTGTGTGCTCTGGTTTTACTACACTTTCTGTTTTATGAGTGGGATGTTGATGTTTGCTGTCACTGTTCACTCTAAAAAAACCAATATTAAAGATTAATAAAAAAAAACACAATAGAAACTCTATGCGCTTCATTTAACCACCTACATGTCTTCTCACTCCCATGTCATTTTTGGACATTACTTCCCACTTTGTTCTGGGAAATTTATTGAGAAACTGAAAGAAATGTTACGACCTCAAGTGAGCGAAAACTCCCTGTCATTCTTGTCTGTTTGGACTGTACGCATCACCACACTGTGCTTTTTGTGTTATTTTACTTCCTCCTATCTCGTCTCTTCTTGGCTGTGGCTTTTCTCTGCTCTATCATCAGCCTATGGAGAGCAAATACACAGTTATCCTGTATTTAAGTCACAATAACACAAAAACCTGCCTATTGAGTGACCTTAAAAATGAACAGTTAACAATAGTTAATAACTGTTGATTGTAAGAAGTGACAATACTTTCAGAGTAAGCACCTTCATGACGTCATCGGCTCAATTGTAAACACTGAGTCTATCATTAAACCTATTATAGCTTCATGTGACATAAACCTAAGCCTCAAAAATAATGAGTCAATCCTCAAACTATGACAGCCTCTTCCTCCATCTTGCCTCATTCAGTGTCATGCTCTCTGACTCTTCTGTGTCACCTCGTACTCCTCCACCTTTCCTGTTTTACCCCCCCCCCCCCTCCAGTTTTCCACCTACATACTGTCACTCACCTCAGAACTACTGTGAGGCCTACACTCGCTGCCAGACTCAGGGCAGTAACCGCGGCGATGACTGGCACCAGCAGGCCCTTGGTAGACTGAAAAGGTGAGTAGGTGTCTCCGGGAGGCGGGGGAGGCAGAGTGAAGACAGGTCGTTGATCCTGCTCAGGCGAAGGGGCAACTGTAAATGATGAAAATGTCAGACGGATGTGTAAACAGAGCTACATGTAGAAGAGTAACGTGTATGAAATGAGACCTATAAGGACAGGTATTCACAACTGTTCAGCGTATTCTACATGGACTACGACAAGGAGGTTTGAACATTCTTTTGACTCACACCAACCTCTAAACAAAGGGACAAGAAGACTTGGTTATACAGAACACCAACAACAGACCACTTCAATACAATTGAACCTGATTTGACTTTTATGACACACTATTACACGAAGCTAAACACAAGAAAACCAACAAAGCAACAAAAGGTGACAAAGGCACCAAACCCCCTAAAACAAACAGAAACCTTTGTGTTTCCACATCAGTGTGGAACTCAATCGCAAATCCACTCTGATTTACAATGCCCTTCATTTTTAAGTAAGTAAAAGTAAGGTCTTTTACCTGCTTTTTGTAACATAACAATGAGGTCTTTTTACCTGCTCTTTTGTAACGTTAACAGACAAAGAGTAAGGTCTTTTACCTGCTTTTTGTAAAGTGTCTCGAGATAACACTTGTTATGAGTTGACGCTATACAAATAAAAATTGATTGATTGATTGATTGATTTTTCTGCGCTCACCTCACTCCATATCTACATCTCATCCACCTTGTTAGACACGTCTTCATATACCCACATCTATTTTATTATGCCTAGCTTACCAGGCTTTTTCCAACCTGTCTAACTTTACCGCCTTGATCCGTTACCTGACCACCACCAGTTTGAGGAATTCTGTCTCCAACTCTTGGTTTTGACTACCTGTTCTCCTTTCATGCCCCCCTTTTCACCCCCTGACAGTCTCTGGACTTTGTTAAAGATTCTAGATATTAATTTACTGCCTCTGAATCAGTGCGTTTGTGTTGTATCCTGATTGTGCTTTCTGACCTCTTGCAGAAACACAACACAATGGTACATACACATTAAATTATTAAAGGCCCAACACAGCTGAAATGTTCCAAATTCAGTTAATTTTGTAACATTAGGTGGATAAATTACTATAACATTTTTATCTTTGTGTATTCTGTAAACTGGGATATTTGTCTCATTGTACTGCTGAACTGCAGCTAGCTGTTGATTTATTCATTGCCATTAATTTGGAGTTGACCGATGTTGATTGGAGTGTTTTTCCTCAAATGTGGCAGCTATTGAAAGCTCCTAAATGAACTTGAATATGATGTTGTTGTCCTGCCCCTTCAGAGTTAAATGAGCTGACATTTTTTTCTGTGACGACGTGCTGAAAAGTCTGTACTCTACCTGTGAGCAGGAAAGTGACCCGGTAGAAGATAGTTCCATTTGGGCTTTGCAGGGAGCAGCGATATGTTCCTTGTTCATTCACATGCAGCTGATTTAAGATCACAGTTGAGTCTTCTGTCACTATCAAGGTGCTGAAGTCCCTCTCATTCAGCTGCATACACAGATGAGGCAGTGAAAGTTGTAAGTTGTAAAAGTCGGTTAAAAGCTTTCAGTTACTAAGTTTGCATAGTCATGGTGACAGTATAAAGCTAAAAAGAGACAAACACAGGAATCAGGAAGTTTGTACAGTGAAGTGGAAAGTATCTTCTGTAGTCGTGAGGTACTATTGAAGCTTATGTTCCTAATTTTCGACCAAGAGGAAACCTGTAATGTCAGAGAGACCTTTTGCGTCCCTGGCAGACCAGCGGCCCATGAGTAATGGTACTCTGGTCTACCCAGCAGAAGACTATGCCATGGATGGAAACAGTTCAACAAGGCCTGGCCTCCTTCCTCAGCTTGCACCGGGTACTCTGGAGAAAGAGGGGGGAGGAGAGTAAAACAGAGATGCTTCATTCATTCACATGAGGATTACAGGAATAATCTTTTTCATTAGCCTTGCACATGGACAGCCAGCAGCACAGCATCGCTTAGAAACACATTTACACACTCGTGACAGCATGTGTCCACTTACAGCATGTGCTGTCCATGCAGTGATGCACTCCCACCAAAAATTAGTAGGTACAGCTAGCCCTCATCCACCCACTCAGCAGCAACAACATGCACACACAAACAAGCAAATAGAAATATACCGCCGCAATCCTGATGTCCAGAGGGTGAAGGGCAGATGTACATCTTGTAGCGGCAAGAGAAGCAATCCATTATTCTTCGTCTCAAAAGCCCTGAAAAGCACATCCCACACTCACATGCACTTACACATGTTCTCTGAACATGTACTTACATACATTTCATGCACCTACAAGGATTTAATACAGAGGGAAGGATCAGACAGAATAGACTTACCGCACTTGTTAGGGCACAATCCTGAGGGAGAGACAAACAAATGATGTGAAAGTAATGTGTCTTGTACAAAGCCATGACTTACACAAAGTGCTCTGCCTCATACTGAGCAGAACACTCGCTGTTACTCATGTCTATTACCATCCTGCATAAATGTGTCCAAGTGTTTCTCTAAGATCTTCCTGCCCTTCTCCATGATCATAATGGCTTCAAACGTCACAGACCCTTAAAAAAAAGAAGACGCTTGGTCTAAAATTCTGAAGGAAATCAAGTTTGATAATAAAAAATGTATTCAATGAAGATATAAGAGAACAAATGTGATGACCTTATTCCTTGTCTTGTGTTTTTTCTTTTTCTTCAAAGTTTACAACAACTTTGCTTAGCTTTTTTAGTTTTTGTTTCTCACCTGTGTGCTGGGACTTCAAGAAGTGGTCAAATTCGCCCTGGTATTCAGTTTTGGCTCTGTACAGCGTGGTGGGATCTGAAAAAAAGGTTATAGAAATATACATCTTAAGCATCTCACACAAACTGTAATCCAAACAAAAGAAAAGAAAAAAGGATTGCCTTAGCAGTGAATGCCTCCACTGCCAGATCATATATTTCCCTTCTCCTTGTGTTTTCCATGGTATTCTTTGATTCCTTAACTTTTTATTGATTATTGTTTATTGATTGCTAAATAGTTTACTGAAGGCTTAAATGAAGCACTTTAGTCTTCATGTTTGGATAAAAAGTGCAACATTAATAAAGATGTGTCGAGTTATCATACTGATAGAATCCACTACTTCCACTACTCTTGTATATTTTCTTTTGTTGTACACGTGAGAGGTATTTTAAATGTACATTAAGTACATAATATGTATAATTCAAGTGCCATAAACATCCCACTAACCATTGTTTTAATATAAATATGTGACAAGATGTGACATATTAGTTGATATAAGCATAATCAAATTTCTCCACACAGTAAAGCCAAGCCAAATTTGGCTGAAACAGGCCTTGGTCTCACCAATGACTCCCTTTCTTTCCCGGCTGGTCTCTCTGTAGGTCTGATAGGCATGGTCAGAAATCTTTTTCAGTTCTATCTGGTCGTCCACAGTGGGAGCAGACAAGGCCAAGTCCTCATGGAGGAGCCTGATCTTGCGTTCACACTGCAGACAGGCCTCGGCTGTATAGACGTAGAAGAGCAGGGATACCAACATGAGCAGCATCTCTCCTCTGCTCCCTGAACTCTCCGGGGAATAACACCAAGATGCGTCACTGTAGGACCTGGGAATTTTCAGTGTCTTTCTGAAACACAGTTGCCAAATATTAGTTCTGCTACAGACATCATCATTACTGTAACTGCAAAAATTGTCACCACTCCTACACCTCATCTTTTAGCGATTTGTACATTTACTGTAACTACACCTTCCAGGAATACAAGTGTTATTCCAATCACTCCTTAAAGTACTTTTACTGTTGTTTGGAAAAATTGTTTGCCTCATGTTTTCTGGGTCAAGAACACAGTATAGTTACTGTATAGTATATTGGTTTCTGTCTGTTTGGGTTGTTTCATTTAACACACATATTGAGAGCTGAAATTAACAATTGTCCTGATCTCCTGTTTTATCATCAACATTATCACATTACCAGTGGATTAACACATATATTGATATTATTGGTGTGGATCTGTCAGTGGCAAGAGTTTTTTGGTGCTGCAGCTGTCACCATCTCGGCACGGGAATCGATGCTAGAAAGAATTAACAAACTGCTGTAAGTGCTATATTATTACTTTATTTTTTATCTATGCTCTGGAATCTGTTTTCCCTGCACACAGTATTTATTTATAATAGAGACCTATGGGGTGGGGAGGGAGGGAACGCCACAGGGTTTATGTTTCACTTTTTTGTCTCCTTACTTTTTGTCTGTATCCTTTTCTGTATTTTTATGATTGTTGTAAAAGGAAATTAAAAAGTTGATCCCAAAATAAATCATTATCACATTACCTCCAAAAAATCTGGCATGCCATGAATATGAAATATATTTGGCCACTAATTCTCTTAATAGAAGTTCACAAAATAGCTTGATATCTATGGGGCAAAGTAGGCAACTGTTTTGAGGCCCACATGTTGTTGTGGTTGTCTGTTCAAGTCCAAGTTTTAAAATGTGCAAAGTATAAAAGTAAAGTTTTCTTTTGAAGAACATTTCTCCTTCCAATAACTGTGCAAAGCTAACTGATGCTAACATATTTAATGTAAGGCATAAAAAAAAAGTAAAAAAAAACAAAACAAAACAAATATCCATAGCTGTACAGTCACAACAGCTTGACTGTTTCAGCTACTTCTCTTCATTTCACATGTATGTTTCATGTTTGTGTTTGTTTTACTATGAAGTCTACTACTGCTTCTTTTTACTGAACAGCTGCAACAAGCATTCAGTCTGAATACTACTTGCTACCATTGCTATCAACCACTCTTTCTGCAGATAAAAACAATACATGGCTAATTGCTAGCTGTGTATCTATTTCTACTGTTGCTAGAACTTCTGGTATTGATACTAATTCAATTCAATTAAAAAAACTTGATTTGTCCCCGGGGGGCAATTCAAAGGCACACAGAGCAGTAAATTAACAACAGTGCAAGTACGAAACATTTTAACCTAAATAGAAAGTGTCAATTTAAATACAACTTAAAGCTTAAACTTAACTTAAAAATACAAAATATAAAAAGAGTAGATATGAGTGGACAGTGATCGGACAAACAGGTGTAAACAGATGTAAACAGAACTATGTGCAGTAAACGAGAAATAAATACATATATGAAGAGCTATATGCAAATAGGCAAATACTAAATGATAAGTTAATAAGGTGCATGGTGAATAATGGAACAACAGAACGAATATAAACAATATAACTGTAAAGGTAAAAATTAGATAAATAAAGTGACCGTAGTGCAATGATGGATAAGAAACATCAGGAATAAAGTAACCAGAGCTGTATGAATACTGATATAAAAAGGATAGAATCATTGGAAGTCTGTAGGCCTATTGCCAAAGAATAAAATACAAGAATAATTGACCCCTGCTGTCACATATTCAGATGTAGCCTAACCATAAAGCCTTCCAGCTCCCTGTTGACAGCTCGCTGCTGCCACCTAGTGGTGGATAGTGTGTCACAGTACTGAAGTTATAGTCGTGGATGATCTCACCCCTGTTGTTGTGGTTTGTTGTTGCTGCCTTGCACATAATCCAGGCCGGTAAGAAACTTCTGAATTCGAACTGCAACAAAAATGTCTGTTCACACTTTTAAAATCCCGAGAGTTGAATGATTCAAAAGCGTCAACATCAATTTATAGGTTTGTTTTTAAAAAGTGACATAAACCGGAAATGGCCAGTACTCGATAGTTTCCATGGGCAACAGACAGTCGAACAGACGACATAAAAAACACAGACGTTATTTTTGAGATAATGCTAATCATAATCTCCATATTTTTATGTAGGTTTACAGAAAACTGTTACGGTAGCACACCAGTGTTTTGAAACTCGGACGTTGAGTAGTTCTTGATTCATTCTGACACTACATTTCCCAGAAGCCAACCGGATGTAGCGTGTGAGTGACAGCTTTTATAGACCTATCATCTCCTGTTGGGCGGGATCACGGAAGTTTAAATCCTTTCTGCAGCTGCGCAGAGGAGCACTGCGCTCACAGCTGTACACAGTGACCCCCTCAGAGAGTAGACGCGGAGGTAAGATATCACTGTTTCTATGTTTACAACGTCCTTATTGACAGTTTAAATGTTGTTTCTAACTTATCTTCGGGGTTGTCATAGACAGCCTATTGTTTTCGACTGTGAACATGGCCGTGTTGAAACCTATCCTACTAGTTCGTGACTACTGGTACAGCCGGTTACAGTGCCACTGAAATGTCCCGACACAGCATTGTCGACAAGTGCTTGTTGGTTATCGATCAGGCGATGGCACATTGGAAATGTATAATCAGTTGGTCACATTTGTAATCATGCATCTGGAGGCCACATTTGTGTCCACTGTGATCATTTCTGCAAAGTCAAACAGGGATGTTCAGCGTTTAGTTTAATGTTTATCGCTACAACTTATGTAAACACAAAGCAGTAGCCTAAGCTGTCACTATGACAGAAATGTGCCTGTGTTTATAAGATCACTTTTCAGTAATAACAAATGCAAAACAAAGCTACTTACAAATATCCGTGCAACTACTACCAGAATTAACATTTCGTATGTACAGGAATGATCAAAATATACATTTAATGTAATATAAGGATGGTGCAGTTGTCTATGTATAGCTGCAGAATAATCTTAGTAGAACATGTAATTGTGTAAGATGGCATTTAGAGGAAGGTCACACAGCAGTGGTGTCTGTGGAGGAACCACATTTTTGCAGGACATGCATTTACAGGGCTTTCTTCCTCTCTCTGCACCATTTCCACTTACCGTCATCAGAACAGAATAAGAACAAAAACGCTGGATGATACCTGTTGTTAGGTTAAACAATGCTCTGTTTGTGGATGATTGGCCTGTGCGCTTTATCTCTAAACTGTATGTTTGCTGCAGTACGGTGATTTGAGGGCTACAACTCTGGTATTAACTCAAGTCTCAGGTGTTTTTACCTGGGAGATAAATATAATTGAACCATGCTGACATGGTGTCTGTAATTTCTTTGATCATAGTCTGTTTTTAAGGTGTCATTGATGCCGGTACCATCTGTGCACATATGTGGTTGAGCCTGGGTTCCTGCCATTTACCAAAGTGCTGTCCCTGCTCTCTGCTTTGCAAAACTATGATGGACTTAAAATCAAGTGCACACAGTACAGGGAAACGTATTCATTTTTGTAGAAAGTTAAAAGGTATTCTTTTATTTGTGTTTTGTGTGATTCACACTTCTTTCAGAGCACATTTTCTTTAATCTATGAGCGAATAGAAGGAAACAGATGGTGATTTTTTTTAAATCATGCCAGTGTGCAGTGCAGAAACCTGCAGAGCTATTTATAAACACAGTTCTTAGAGACAGACAGTAAAATAATAATATCTGGTGGTCAGGAAAATTCATTGTGTGTTGATTTGCGTTAGAGTACCAAGAAATTATTTTATTTCCAATTCTAATAATTTGAAATGAACTTGTGTATATGCCAATAGATGATTTTGTTTTATACTTTTTAATTACACTGTTTATTATTCATGTTTTCACACCCTCACAGTTTGGTTTGTAAGTGAATGACATGATGAGATTTGCGGTCCCTTATTTCTTTATCCTGACCCTTTTTGCAGCGTGGTTTTACACCTTTACACCACACTGCCGTGCTTTGACTGAATCTTGATCTCTGTATGTTTTGCAGTTCGAGACAATTCTGCCCCCTTTCTGAAATGGAAACCTTGCTTGAAAAAACCTTGAAAGATTAGCAGGTAGACATCCGGCTTTCTTTCACCTCTAAAACAGAGTGTCTGAAGAATATTTGTTCTGGACATTTTCATCAACACTGACTTTGGCAACCGCAAGTTCCGTACAGCTGTGCCCGGCGTACCTCACCGTCTAAAGTCTTCAGCATGTATCAGATTGTCCCGGTGGCTCCTGGGGAGCAGCAGTTTTCTGGGGAAGCTGGGGGTTCTCCCTTGAAGAAGAAACTGGCAAACGAAGGCCGCCCTCTGGTGATAGCAGGCATGCTGGGCTGTGTGTTAGTGCTGGCTGCTGTGGTTGCTTGGTGCTACTACTCAGCTTCCCTCCGTAAGGCACATCTGTTAAAAACTGAACTGCTGGACCTCAACAAGGACGGGTTTATCGTTCGTAACCAAGCAGGAGCTGTCCTCTTCAGTATGGCCTTCAGGTGGGTTCACTTAATGTGTTGTTTTAGTTTTGATCCATCTAAATTATTGTCTAAATTTAAAAAAAAAAAAGTGTGTATAGAAATGTGAAAAAGGTACAAACCTTTGTTTTCACAATGCTCACATGATCGATTAATCTTAACATTTTTGCAGATTCATTTAATCATCTCCACTAATAAGTAAGCCTGTAATATGTTAGTAATATGTTTAAGATAAATGCAGATTTAATGCAGCTCAGTGCATTCCTGTACCAAATACTTGGCTTGTAAAACTAACATCCAGTAGAAAGCTGCCTGCCTGCCTGTCATGTGGGATGTTTAATGGAAAGCCAGATGAGGCAGACACATGACTATACCCTTAGGGAAACCAGTCCTGCCCTACATAACCAACACTCACATTCATTGCTAATCTTAGCCATAGCAGTATCCTGCAGACACATGGCA